TTTCATGGACTGTGTACATACTAGGTATGGACACTTGTTGGACAGGTGACACTGTGATAGATGGAATTTGCCTTAAAATATTTAATGCTCTATCCCAGAACTGTGTGCTCTTATAAATTTCTCTACAGTCTACCCTCTTTCTGAAATCAACTTTCAGAAAAATGATCTGATAAATACAACCCTAATAAATGACTCAAGGCACTTAACATAGTATTCTTTCTACATGTATTTTGATTTGAAGCAAGAAAATAATGAAACAAAGGAATAATTTTCTATAAAATTCTCAGCATCTGTATTAGGATGGATAATGATGTTTTGAAATTAAGGATTGTCTTCAATCATATCATCTATATAATTACATATATAATTGATTAATATTTGTTAAAATAGTTTTAGACTCCAGGACAAATCCTAATAGATAAATTTAAGAGGAAAATTTGCCTTTATTATAGCATTATTTTCATCATATCACTAATATGACAAGAATGCAAGAATTTTGAAGATAAATCCTAATTTTCTAAATTAAAGGAATTAAATATATACATATAAGCACTAGAAAATATATATATACGTTTAATATTTATACTAAAACATATGTTTTTAAATGTTATAAAAGTATATATATTAGAATATTAAGTAGTATATGCCTTTAAATTCCTTTTAATATATGATTCATAGGCTAGTTATATGTGTACATCTACTATACATATATACTACTAGGTCATCAGGAAAGTCATGACATATTTTTCTGTTTTTCTATGCACGAATGCGTCATTACTTTCCCAACAACCCAAATATGTGTGTATATATCATGCATGTTACACACATATACACACATATACTATAGACATTATACGTTGCATATTATGCATTAGATATGTAAAAGAATACACATATGTGTACATTTCCTCATTTAAGTTCTTGAAAGCTATGGGACTTAAGAATATTAAGGCAGGGGCCAGATGGCGGCCAGCAGTGAAACATGACACACTGGGAGGCAATCCCACATGGAAAGGTTCCTAGCTTAAGTCCAGAGACATCCTTGGGCATGCCAGATGCACCCTGAGTCATGATCTGGAACTGGCCAAAGGCTGGGTGTGGATCATGGGGCCAAGACTCTACTACGAATGTTCTCTCTCTCTCATGGGGGAAACATATGGATAACCTGGGGCGTGGAAAGAATATTACAGCAAATATGCCATCTTAAATATTTTCCCAAACAAGAAGTTCCTGACCGGTGCTTGACAATTTTTTTCCTGAAGAACCAAATATGAACATTTCCGACTTTACAAGTCATAGTGTTTGCTGCAATATTCAACCTTGCTATTGTAGCACAAAAACCACCATAGACCATACTACATGATGAATTTCTCCATGTTCCAATAAACTATTTATGGATATCAACAATTAAATTTTACATTATTTTTATGTGTTATAAAATATTATTCTCCTTTTTACATTTTTAATCACTAAAATTATAAATACCATTCTGAGCTTGAGAGGTATTAAAAAAACAGATGGATGAACCTATTTGACTCACAGCCAGTTGTTTCTAGATCTGTAATCTAGACTTAACCTTTCAGGATTTCCCTGGCAAACAGTGGACAGTTCCCAGGGTCGAGTATGTGTTCTGGTGACAGGCAGACAAAGGTGTCACTGACGAAGGTAGAGGAGTATAGTTTAAGCACATTACCCATAGTGATAAGGACCCTCTATTAGCTTTTTGAACTAAGGAAACAAGGGTGAGTCTGAGTTTCAAAATCCTTTCCACCTGACTTCTGGGCATCCAGTATGTTTTACTTTAGAATGTCATTTTTCTTCCCCCCCCTTTTTTTTCAGATTCTTTATTTTTTATTTTATTTTATTTTTCTTCTCCTCCTCCTCCTCCTTCTTCTTCTTCTAACATTTGATTACTATACATCATTTGGCTTCTAAAGAGAATTTACCCAACATACAATATTTCTCAGGATAGTCCAGTTGAAAATACTATACATGTTATCATTAACGAGTAATACACCATTTCTGTATCCCACAAATGTCATGCCTCTCCATTTTCCCTGGCCTTGGCTCTGCTGGTGAAAAGTGGAGAAAAGATGCCAATATTTTGTGAGCACTCATTTTTCTATCTGACCTGTTAGCATCTATAATGGTGATAGAAACACTATGGAATGTTACTTTTTGGGGGGAGGGGTGTTTGTTTGTTTTTCTGTCACCAGAGAGAGGTAGACAGAGAGAAAGGAAGGTAAAGTGAGAAATCACCTCTCCCCTCCCTCGGAAGGATGACCATGAAGCAATCCCGTCTCCATTCTCCTCTCAGGATTTTGAGACATGCGTGCACACATGTGCATGTGCACCTGGTGTGATTTTCAAGCTTTGGGGTCTGGGACTCAAATTGTGCAGTTGGCTAGGTGGAATCCTGAGCCTGAACCTCCATGCTGCCTGCTGGCCCATTACCAGTTTTTAATGGAAAAAATGCTAAATTGAGATTAAAAGACCTCGTTTTTAATCCCTCACCTGACTGACCTTGCAAAAATTACTACAACTTTTTGGGCATCAGTTTATTTATTTGTATATGTGTTTTTAAAAGGATCTTGAAGATTTACCCAGCTGTATAAACAAATTATAGGTCTCCTTATGTCAAACATCACTTTACTGACAAGACTTAGGTAGGAAGTACATTTTGCAGGAGATATGGGCAAACTATGGCCAGACCTGTTGCCTAGTGGTTAAGAGAGCTGGATCCTACATAGCTCACAGTGGTTTGAATCCTGGCCATGGCAGCTTGAAAAACATGGCAGGCACTTATAGATGCATGTCCCAAATCATGACAGGATGGAGAAATGGAGAAGGGATTGTAGTGTGACCATCACCCCACTGAGGGATGCTTTCTCTCTTTCTCTCTTTTTCCCTCTCTCTGTCTCCTGATGACTGGAGCACATGCCCTCCAGCAACTAAAAGAAAGAGTGATGGGCAAAATATAGGAAGATATATCCGAGTGTGGAAAATGTAAATTTAAGTAGTACATTCAGACTTGTACATTTTTATTTACTGAGTTTTCTGATAACAAAGAATTAGGAGAATCTCAGCTATGGTACTTTTTCTTGCATTTATTTTTCTGCATCTATAGGTTAGCTGTTTAAAGAGTCTCTGGTTTACGGTCCATTTCCTTGAAACAAAAAACCCACGTTTTTATAAAATTTGTGCATTAAGACTTTGAACCTGCAGATGGTGCTATGATCCCATTTTGAAATTATTCTGCTTTCTAGTTTAAATTCATAAGAAAAAAATGTAGTTATTTGATTTAATTTCTTTTTATTCAGAGGCTTTTTTAAGATGAATTATTTTGTTTTATTTTTGCATTTTATTATAATGGGAGAGACTAATCCTACTATGAGAAAAATTTACTAGTCTTTGTGAATGTTAAGTGCTTATTTAGAGCAAATAATCAATGCTTATGTCTTTTTTCTTTTAGATTTATCTGTGACGCTTCATTAGCTTACCTTGCTGTTATTCTTAGATGAAATAGCTTTGCTGGGAATTGGATGACAAAGAGCTAAGGATAAAAAAATTCACATGAGGTCCATTTCAACCTCTATTTTGTAATGATCAGGTAAAAAAAGATTTCCTGGAATTAAGCCACAGGAACTCTGGCTTAAGTCAGAGCTGTCAACTGGGAAACAAATTTCCAGACATTTTGAAGTTTAATTCATTTAATTTTTCTTGTAACTGGATTAGAAAATGTGATTAAGCATGGCAGGATATTCTTTTACTGGAGCGGGCTGACTTTGAATGAAGCAAATAGATACTAAAATGTAAAAGTAGAAGAAGAAAGAGAGCTTTAAAGGCATTTTCCCTTGGGGAACGTACAAACAAAAATGTAAAGGCATATACACTCTAGAAAGGTTTTTAATAAAAAGGTAGCATTTCAGTTCGCTGCCCAAGAAATTGTTCATGTATCTGGATTTTTGCCTTAAACCCTTACTGGATGAATGTGAGGCTACTTTGAGTTTAAAACTCACGAAGAAATTAAGTATGCCTCAAAGTACTACATAACTGCTTTCCAACTAATTCTTTGCAAACATCTGTCAAGTGATTGAGTCAGAAATGTTGAAAAACTGGTGTAGATGTGTGTGTGTGTGTGTGTGTGTGTGTGTGTGTTGGGGGAAGCAAACGAATCATTTTACATAGTAGAAGGACTTGTAAAAAAGCATAAGAATAACTTTTACAAAGGAAAAATGTGCATTTTGGGGGAAGCAAACGAATCATTTTACATAGTAGAAGGACTTGTAAAAAAGCATAAGAATAACTTTTACAAAGGAAAAATGTGCATTTTGAAGTAAACAGCATGAGTACTTATTTTCTGGATCATTTGGTGTAGTTTATGTGAAACTGCATTGGGAATTAGGGCATTTTATACCATTGTGCAAGAGCACTACCACTCCTGCTTTCTACAACAGTGTATATATTACATGGCTTAGGGACTTTCTGAAACTCAAGTCCTGGGATTAGTTTTACCACAATGGTTAAATAATAATAGGTGAAAAGTTATTTCTTGATTCTTTTCAAAGTAGGATAGACTTAAAGAAAGAGTAAATCAGCATCTACATGAAGAGCATAAAATTTTAAAAAGTACTAAGAAAATGAGCGTTTGTAATAAAGAAGAGCGACACATGTGTAAACATGATAAACCTAAGTATGGGCTACTCTCTATTTATTTCTGCACGTGAATTCCTGTCATTCTCTTATTTCATTACGATAAATTAAAAATAACATTTCACCTTAACTTGGTTCATTTTTGTTTAAAGAAAAGTAAGTTTCCTCTTTGTATCTTGCATAGTTAAGTTATTCACTATAAATTTATATAAGTCATGCATAATGACAATTAAAGAAGAACTTCAAGCCTTTTTCATCCCGTGGGAGTACTACTGTGACGTCTTTCAGTGAGCTTTGTGATTGCTCATACTCAAGTGTAAGCCCTATAAAATCATAGGTTTTGAAATTCTGGTTGGGTAGGAGCGAAGAGCAGTGGCTGCTAACAGCCAACCCTCAGCCTATACTAAGGGCAGAGATCTGGTACAGTCTTCCTTGCCCGGCCAAGACTTCAGGACCTAAGACAGCTCCTCCACTTTGAGGAGCACAAAGCTTCCTAGGAACGCTGCTCTCTGTAAGGTAAAGGAAACTTCTTTTTTCTTCTTGCCTCTGGAACTTTTCTCGGATATATTGAATTTCCCTCTCTCTTGAAATGAATGTTGCAGTGTTTTTTCTTTGCAAAAAGACAAATTTTTCAAGTCACTTGGTAAGAGTAGAAATATCTCCATTTCTGTTATATGACTGAATTTTCCATTGGAGAGGAGTTTGTAAGAAACTTTACCTTGCTTGCTCTTTAATTAAATACTAATTTATTTTTTAAATAGTACATCCTAGTAGGTTCGTTTGCTTTTACTTAGATATTTTGGGAAGGGTCCAGTGGGTACATTTTCTTAGGAAATTTTAAAGTTATTTGAAAAGGATTTTCTTTCTATTTCATATGTTCGTTAAGCCAACCTAGGAAATATTATTTTACTCTTTAAGTCTAAATGCTGTGACTTTTTTAGGTAATAGAGAAATAGACCTTGAACTCCTGAGTTTTTATCTAGAAATTATTTAGAAATAAAATGTATAGTGGGTTCAATGCAATAATTTCTCTCTTTTATAGAAAAAAAAATCACTTCAATAATAATGTGTGGTTTGATGATTTGGAGGATATTGATACTATTAATTGAGTTAAGTTTTTCAAACCCATTAGGAAAAAAAGATTATTTTTCTCTCTTAATTTTAGATACTATTGGGAATACTCACACACACACACATAAAACATATACATATACAAAATATGTTTACACCAATATGTATATATACATTATATTCATGCATACCTGCAGATGTGTGTGTAATTCACCAGAGAAGAATTATTAAATAGCTGATACACCAGTCTGACATTAATCAGATACTAAAAGCTTAAAGTAGAAAACTAAATTTCTTAAAGCTATTTCATTAGTCAGAAAAGATACTGAACTTGGTTGCTACAACTCTGTTATGAAGAGATTGTTCCCAGAGTTACATTCAGCACTATAAAAGCATTTATTCACTAAATATTTGGGCCAACTAAGTGCTGGTGAGAGAAAAGAGAAAGAGAGAGAAAGAGAGAAAGAAAGTGGAAGAGAGAAAGAGAGAGAAAGCAGACCAAAAGGATTCTAATTTTTATTCAAGCGCTTCTCACTGAGAGTATATTGACTTTTAAAAAGTAATCACATTGCAGTTTAACTCTTTTGATCAGATAAAATGACTTTTTCCAAACTTTGCAAGAGCCTTCAAAAGTTACTGTCAGACACTCAAAATTGCTTTGCTAGTGACATCTGTGGCCCACTCTCTTTAGAGGCACAGAAATGGAAATCAGAAGTAAGCCCCAGCTCCTCATCCTCCTGACCCTTTTCAGCACCCTCTTCTCCCAAACACTGGCATGGCCTCTTTTTGGAGCACCTTCTGCTCTAAGGTAAGTACCCTTCTGAGGTACATTCCCTTTTAATTCAGACATTTGAACATTATTTCTCCAGCTAAATGACAATGTTCTATATGTTACTTGGGGCAACCAAACATTTTAACTTATGTCTTGTTTATGTAAATCTTTGGGTTGATGCATTGAGCATGTTTTTTTCAACAAGTCAATATGATCATTCTGAGTCCTGGAACTCATTTTCAGGGCATCAGAGATTAGTTTTATAGGTTGGATGGATCAAATCTCCAAACATGGTATTAATAAAGAGAGATTTGACTTTCTTTTCCTTCAGACTCAGTTTCTGATAAATGATAAGCTTTTATCCATTGTCATCTCAGTTCAGTTCAGTTTCTGGTAGAAAACTTGTTGTTTAGTTACCAACCACATTTTAATTCACTTTCAAGATCAATCAGAAAATAACCATGAGATTGGTAGTAGATTAGTAAAACAGGTGTAAAATCATGTTAGACAGACTATGCAATTAGAATCAATTTGCCAACATTAAACATTGTAGGATAATTGATCTACCAGTATACACTTGCCCAGTAAATTTTAATGGACTTGGTTTGAACAAAAAAAAAAACCTCTTCATTTTACTGTTCTATGTGTTTTATTTAATATTTCTGATTCATAAAATACAGTGCAATTCATATTTAAAACTTTATATTTAGTAAAATAAATTTCTTAAGAAAAGTAAACAGTAAGTTTGAACTACATGAGCTTGAGTTTTTCCTTCCAGTATATAGGCAGCACAACATCTAAAGGCAAAATCATCACTTATTTGCTTATTTACCCATTCCTGATTCTTGGCTTAAATAGATTTATGCTCAATAGAGTGAATAATCTCTTTTCTGTTAGTGTTCTCTGTGAAATCTATTTAAAGCCAAGGCCCATGTTGCTTTGAAAACTAACTAGAATGGTTCTGGTTGAATGGTCATATCACAACAGATAAACAATTACAAAAATGCTGAAATTTACATTGATTGCTAGGCTTCAGACCCACAGAGAACCATTTGTTACTACCAGCTACAACATCACCAAAGGATACACAAGTGTCTAGGAGTTGACATATTCCTTGGCGGTTTTTCCTAATGTAATAATATACACAGATATGATTTCAATAGTGTGCTGGTGTTATAAGTGTGCATGCATCCACAAATACAGTCCTATCCCGTATGTAATTATAACTACTCTTAGACTTCTCTTGTAGATTCTTACATCCCTTATTAAAATGATATGAATACATAAGATTAAAAACTGTAAAATACCACCAAATGTATTGAGTTTGAAGAACTATTCATACATGGAGAGATTCTTTGGACTTGCTTAATACAGAGAGAGTACCAAGATAAATCTTACATGAAAAAAGCACCATTCAGCCCTTGAGAAATATTTGGGATAAATAAAATTAAACGTCACTAGATACACAAACTGCTATCAGTATTCATATTGAATATTAAATTTTTCAAGTTTCTATTTTGTGTAAAATCTTACCACTTATGAAATTTGACTTCATGAAGTGTAGTGAAATATACTGAGGAAATGTATTTTGCTTAACACTGATAGGAATAAATTAAGTAGGTCTTGTGTTTGGTATATTTAGCTTATAAAAGTTGTGTGATATCTATTTCATGGGATAATAAAATATTTCATTATCTATACTCTCATTATTCATAGAAACAATGAAGGTAAATTATGCTATCCTTATGTTATAAATGTCCTAAGATATTATCTGTCTTATTTCAAATGGTTGCAAAACCATTAAGCACTGTCTTCTGAGAAGGGGATACACTATACTTCTGGTGTGTTTTTCCCTAATAGGTTGGGTGACAGAATTCCATTTGATGAAGCAAATGAACTTGACCCAGTTTCATTAAAAGCAGACACTGACATCTTGCAAAATGTGTTAGCTGAAAATGACTCACCCTATTATGTATCCAGGTGGGTTTATTTTTTAATTAATTAATTAATTTTATTCTTTTATTTTTTTATCATTATTTTAGAAGTTTTTCTATAGGGTATGTGCATTCACCAAGAGAGAGAGAGAGAGAGAGAGAGAGAGAAAGTGAAAAAGCAAACCCCCAGGTCCAGGACTCAAACTGTGGTCAGCCATGTGGGAGTCCAATGCCTTAACCATGATGCCAACTGCCAGGCCCACGTAGGCTTTGTTTTATTGGATTTTATTATAGAAAATAAACTTTAGAAATATAAGCGTTCTAAGTACAACTCACCTTAAGTCTATTCCCAAAGCATGACACTCCAGGCTTTCATATGTCATGGCTGATTTATTGCAGCTCTTACTGCTGCACATGATTTTCATGTCAAAAGATAGATAAAGCTATCAGTCATCATTTACCTGCATTCCTTGCACATAATTTCAATATCATGGATGTACCAATCCTGGGGAGACTGAATACATAGAGTTTCATCTCTACGTAAAGCAAAGCCATCTAATTCTAAGAGCTGTCCTTTCAAAGAGCTTTTTGTCTAGAGTCAATGCAGACTGAGTAGTTCTATACTATAGACTAGATGTGGAGTGTTCTTCATTTGGATCGAAACGTCCGTTAATAGGCTCTAATATCCTCTCTGTTTTGACATTTTGTTTCCCAATATTCTGGCAGAAGAATAACAAAAGGTTTCATGGGTTTTCAAACTGGCAAAAATCAGGTTATTTTCCATTGTGTATATTTTTATTTAAAGTAGCAGAAAAAAGCTTATAAGTACATAGAAACTAATTTGAATATATTATTTTTCACACTTATGTATCTTTGCAAATATTTTTTATTTATTTTAACACCTATTTTTCTATTTTTAAAATATATTTATTTATTTACATTTAATCGCATATTTACAGTGTACTACAACATTTCTTTGTCCAGCACAAATACTATGCATATCAGTCAAGTCAAAGATATTACTCTATAATTTATCAGGAAATAGCTTCTCATTTTGGGGGGCAAAGAATTAGTTTTAAAGATTCTATTAAAATATGGTTTTAAAAACCTCATTTCTTTAATTTTTCAGTCTTGAGCCAGAAATATAGGATATTTCTTGATATAAGTGACTTCAAAATACCTTTTGTTAGGGTGTGAGGAAATCCCCCTTTGGACTTGAATACTAATCAGAAGCTTCATCATAAATGGATATGTTTCTTTATTATTTAATGAGCTGAAATAATATTTTAGAAACCATGATGAAATCATTGCTGTCTTTTCTTCCCCCTTTCAGAAATGCCAGGCATGCTGATGGAGTTTTCACCAGTGACTATAGCAGACTTTTGGGTCAACTCTCAGCCAAAAAGTACCTCGAGTCCCTTATTGGAAAACGAGTGAGGTAAACAGAATTTTTGTTTTTAATCAGATGTCTTATTTGCAAATTACATTTTCACTCTTAGAGGTTATTTAACCTGTGTCAAACTGATAAGTCTTATAATGTTTAAATAACATAATTTGTATTCTTGAATGAAATATATCAGGCTCACAGAATAAAGAAATAAGACTGTTTAGTAATATACTCAATGACTCCCAATGCTTTTAGTTTTCTTAGGCAGCAATCATTTACAATTTGCAGGCAAACTGAACTTTAAAAAATAAATAATAAATAATACAAGCTGAAGAAAAATTGAGGATCAACCATAGGATTTGCTTTTTATTTTCTGCTCAAACCAAACATTCTCTTTAAGCAGCTGATAACTGAATTTTAGATGGTACTGCTTAGGATAGCCTAGCTTTAAAGAGCATTATTTTTTTTTCCTCTTGATGAAAGAGCATGGCTTCAACTATTCCACAATATTACTTATCATTTGTTCAGTTAGTAGAGAACATGTTTTAAGGCAATTCTAGACAAGGCCGAAATATGTTGGATTATTCCTTGTTCCCCTGTCCTTGGACTTAGCAGTATTGTTCTTTGTCTTTTTGTGATAGAAAATGAGTTGAGTTTTGGAATTTTAGTCTGACTCCAAGAAGTCTGGAATCTTGGTGCATTTGCCTTTTTTGTTGTTGTTAAAACTGAGGTCCTCTTCCTGCCATTCCTTAGCACCAACATCTCGGAAGACCCTGTGCCAATCAAACGTCATTCGGATGCAGTCTTCACTGACAACTACACCCGCCTTAGGAAACAAATGGCTGTCAAGAAATACTTAAACTCAATTCTGAATGGGAAGAGGAGGTAAAGAAAAAGAGAATTTACTTAACTAAGAAATTAGGAATGACTTGAAATATAAGCTACATGTGGAGATCTACTTCTCTCTCTCTGTCTCACCATCTACCTGTACTACAAGAAGCAGTAATTCTCACATTACACTATGTTGTAGAATTTCTAAACTTAGGTCAGGGCCTTACCCAAACACAATTGCCAGGAAATCAATCCATCAGGGAATCTGGCCTTAGACATGGGCATTTTTAAAGAGCTCCCTACTGAGTCTCTCCTGTGCTACCAGGGTTAAAAATTTTACACACTCTATGACTGTAGGAACATCTAGTCTGAATCTGTGAACAGGTTTCATCAAAAGTGCTGATTTTTAAAAGCACAGTTAACTAGTAATTTGAAAATACATGGAATTCCCTCATGACCATTTTCAAAATTCAAATTCATTTCAAAATTCTTATTCATCATAAACTGTGAGGAAGTGTGTATGTTCCGATGCTGTAACCTATCTCTATGGTAGGTAAATATTGGACACAATGCACAGAGTATAATGATTTCTCGCTCCTTCTTTTTGGTGAATATTCAGGATAATTCTGTTTGTGAGATCTGACAAGATGACTATCTTTGTCCTACAGATTATAATTCTGTGAGAATAATTTTACACACTCTAAGACTGAGAACCCCTTCAAGGGTAACAACTAACCTCAAAGATAACTGTTTACCTCAGTGCACTTTACAGAACACAGAGAACGATGTCATCTTTAGGCCTAGTTGTTCCTTTAAACCCTTTCTCATCTAAGAGTCTTAACATGCATTTTCCCTCCCCCACCCCAACTTCCCGGTTTGCAGCAGTGAGGGAGAATCTCCTGACTTTCCTGAAGAGTTAGAAAAATGACGAAAAATCTCTTTGGAGCAAAGCAGATAACAACTTCCAGCGGTGGGTATATTTTGCATTCTTACTCCACTTTAGAAGCGATCACCTAATTACGCAAGTAGTTAAGAGTCACCACTAAGTGGTAACCCTAAGAACATTTAAAATTGAACAATTTCTCACCAGTAATTTCTTCGGTAAGAAGGACACTTCTACCCAAAGTGGACCCCAAGCCAGCTTAAAATGATTCATGCAATGTTTGAGCACATAAAAGGGACAACTCACCATGAGAAAATGCCTTGGCACCTGAATGGCTCTTTTCGTCAGTTCACAGTCTTAACCCCAGGGTGGTACCTAAGGTTTTCAGGAGGGTCGCAGGAGCAGACAGGGTGTCTTGAATGGGACCTGCCTGTTTGGTGGCTTTTGTCCACTGGTTACCCTTTACTTCTAAGAGAGGGACAGAACTGCCAAAACCAATTTGTTATCATGTACAGACATTTCAGAGAAGTGAATCCCTCTGCTCAAGGATGAAAGTAATCACAGCTAGCTCTAAGACCTTTTCCATTGAACTGAGAAATATGACAGGCACTAAATACAAAGCAGGATTGATGATCACTTCATCTTTTGTAAATTATAAGATCACTTATGAGATCCCATCCTGTAAGCTTTTGAATGAATGGCTTTCGGCATACTATTTGAACAGGAAATCCTGTAGATTATTCATTTTAGAAAATTCCAAATGGATAATTATTCACGACTAATTAGACATCCCATTCATATTCCAGTTTCTTTCTGATAACCAGCCCTCTACCTCTGATAGATCCCAAAACACAATCTTGTGCAACAGTCTGGCAATGAGGAACAAATAGATGTTTACTTAGATGAGTGGATAAGTGATTGAAACTAAGATGCTGCAAATGAAAAATTTTATGTTTAAAGCATCCATTCTTTCTTTTACAGAATCTTTGAAAGAAAACAATAGGTGAAGTAAATTTCAAGTTCTACAAACATAATTCAAGAAAACAACTTCAGTATCAAAGCCAAATAAAAATATTGTATTGTGAATGTTGTGATGTATTTTCCTTAAATGTAATAACTGTGATGTTTACATTGTAAATATTATTTAAGAGTTTTTAAATTTGTCTTTAAGTCATGAAAAAACTGTCATTTAATATGCTGTATATCCTTTGTAACAAAAGTATATTTAATAATAAGTAACTACTAGGTTAATTCCAATTATATGAGACCTTTGAAAGAGTAGTAGTAGGATAAATTTGATGTTTTTATTTATAGTGTATACTTAACTATTCAGAAGACATGGCCAGATAATCAGTGTGTCTAAATTTGAGTGTTAAATTGATAGCACACAATATTAAATAAATTTCAAGATGCCTAAGAGAATAAACAACAAAGATAAGACATTCTTCCAAAAAAGATAGTCAGGAAATGTTTCCACATTTGTAGAAAACTTTTACTGAGATTTTAAAAAAATCTCACAGATTAGGATCTTTAATCATCAAAGGCTTTTTCTGATCTAGAGTTGCAGCTGAGAATGACCCTTTTTGCTGACATTGTTCCTGCTCTACTGTGTGAAGTGTATGTGACATGTGTTACTTACTTACATGTGTTACTTAATGGGTTACTTCTTTTTCAGTAATAAATATTTTTTCCATAATTAGTCAGATTAAAGCTTTGGTCATACCAGCTTCCTTCCACGAAAGTACATTTGAAAACACAACTATTTTTTCCAAAATGACTGTAAGAAAAGCAATCTAGAAAATAAACATCTTTGATTATCATTGCAGATACTTTCTTTTGTGTTGACTCTTTTAAATGATTCAGCAATAATTCATTTTAACTCTGAAGTTTCAGACCTTAGATAGTTTCTGTGGTGTTTGTGATAGAATTAAAATTATTGTGTGTGCAATCTAAAATAACAGTGATTTGAAGAGAGGAACTTCTTGGGACCAGCAGTTGGTGTAATGGCTATGTTGCTGGACTCCCACATAGGAGACCGTGGTTCGTGTCCCAGACCCAGTGGTTTAAAACTCACGCCGGGCGCATGTGCGTGCGTGCCCAAGATCCCGAGAGGAGAATGGAGGAGAAGGGGTCGCGGCGCGACCATCCCCCCTGGGGGGTGATTTCTCACTTTCTGTCTGTCTCTCTGTCTCTCTCTGTCTGTCTGGTGAGCACACGCGCCCTATAGCAAATAATAACCTCTCCAATAAAAAAAATAAATAAAAGAGATAGAAACTTCTTTATAAAGCCTGAAGTAAGATGCCAAGAGTCAGTATGATGGTTCTCCTCCATGAAACTTTTGGAAAGCTAAACCCTATCTAGTTCACCCCTTATATTTCTAAAGAGTGCTCCCTTCTTCTCTTGATCCAAAATCACAGCTGTTGTTCCAGTCATCACATCTGCAGTAGGATGAAGGAAGGGCCATGACAGAAAAGAGAGAAAATGGTACATGCTGATTCTGTTTGAACCAATTTTACACTAACCTCCCCTTGATTAGCATTTAGTTTTATAGCCATAGTCATTTACAGGACAGGCTTGGAAGTGTGTGTGTGTGTGTGTGTGTGTGTGTGTGTATGTATGTGCATGCTTCTGAGTGGCCATGTTCAGAACAAAACTGGGGCTCTATTCATATATATATATGTGTGTGTGTGATATATTAAATTTAAATAATATTAGATTTCAGACTAGTAATTTTAAATTCTCACCAAAGAGGATTTAAAAAGCAACAAAATAAACATTAGGAGTTAGTCTCTGACCCCTAATGAAGGAGTATTATCTTCACGGGTCAAAGTTTTGCTCAGTTTCATTTACTACAGTTAGAATACATTACTACATAAGGAGGAACTGGTCTAGAAACACTGGTAATTGTGAAGCAATTTATACATGTTGAAGTGAATGGGCTTTTTGCATCTTTTGTTCTTTTCCCATTCCACAAAATTACTAAATATTTATACAGTGACCTTTCTATGAGAAGCCTTGTAGTAAAAACAGAAAATATCTATGTATTATTTGTACATAAGGAGCTTATAAAGATCAAATGGAGAGCATAATTTAAATGTGAGGCTAAAATGTTTAATTGCTGAAGAGCACATGCACTTATTCCAGAGAGAGAGAGAGAGAGCCCTCAATAGAGCACGGTCATGTTTCCATCTGTTTTCTTCCATTTCTCCATCTCATTAGGAATTTGAACATGCATCACATGTGCCTAGAATGTTTTTCAAGCCACCAGGCTGAGATTTGAACTGTTGTTGGCCATGTGGGATCTGGCTCCCAAAGCACAGTGCTCAACCACTATGTTATGGGGCTGGTCTTGAAGCTAAAATCTTCTAATTTTATCTTATTAATATGAATCTCTTCCATTTATTTTCTAATCCTTCAAGAAATATTTCTTGAACAGTGGCTATGTTGTGCTATGTATATATCCAATAATAGAGCCTCTGGGCAGAGGGAGTAACAAGTAAAAATGAGGAAACGGTCCTGGCACATGTGGACAGCCAGGAGCCTGTGTGGCTGGAGTAGTGTGAACTGTACAGCAACTGAGTAGGCCATGAAGTCAAAGAGATTACTAAGGAGTAGTCCTTTGGGGTCCCCTAGTGCCATTGTAAGGACTTGGGGAGTGAGATGAGGAGAGATTGCAGAGTTTTGGACAAAGTTGTAAAATTATCTTGACTGGTTTGTTTTTTTTAATTTTTTATTTTAGAGAGATTTTTGCTATAGGGCACGTACACTCACTGGAGAGGCAGAAAAAGACAGACAGAAAGAAATCACCCTCCAGTGAGGATGACCACACTGCATTCCCTTCTCCTCCATTCCCTTCTCTGGATTTTGGGCATGCACACACATGCACCTGGCGTGAGTTTAAGCCACCAGATCTGGCACTCAAACAGCGGTCAACTACATAGGAGTCCAGTGACATAACCATTATACCATCTGCTGGTCCCTCTGAACTGTGTTTTAACAGGATCATTCTGGATCCTGTATTGAGAATAGGGTGAAGGGGTGCTAAGAGTAAAAGCAAAGAGAAAAATTTGGAGGCCTCTACTGTAAACGAAGTGACAGATGATGGTGGCTACCACGGTAGAAGCAGCAGAGCTAGTGCAATGTGGAGACTGAATACATCTTAAAAGTGGACTCAGTTCGCTGCTGGTTGAAAATGCCCTGAACAACGTGAGGGATGGAGTCGCTGTTCTCTGAGAGGGAGAAGGTTGGGAGGAATGAGGTTTCAGTAGGAAATGGGGAGTTTAGTTAGGTACATGGGAAATCTGATGTCGGTGGGGAATTGGACATGAACGTGGAAAGTTCTGAGGAGATGTAGGACTGGAAAGGGTTGGGAGACTTTAGTATATAGACAGGATTTAAAAGCACAAAATGCAAGAAATCATTTTTATATGTTATTGAAAGATATTTAATCACAATGTATTAGTGTATAATAATAGCTAACCAATCACTTACGATTTTTTTAATAAAAAGTGTCTGACACTTATTACAGAAAAATGCTCATGTTTATCATGACAATTATCCGTTATCTTTAAAAATGTAAATAAATAAGCTATTATGAAAAATACAAAACAATTCTTAATTTTGGATATTTCTAAGAATGATTGCCAATTCTGATGAATCATTGCCAAATACCAAATGGTAATATTTGTCAGGAATTTGAAAATACTATTACTGAGGGACCGATTATGAAAGGGCTTCTATATAGGCACATACATTGAAGGTTTTCAAGTAAGATTGTTGAGCTCTCATTCCTCCTAGAGAATGGTGAAATGCTTTATCTAGAGGGATAAAAATTAGAAAGATTTTTTTTCTACAGAAATAGACAAAAAATTGTCTGGGGAGAGCTAGGATAGCGAGTATGAGGGTGGTATCCCAGAATTTCACCCTTTTCCACCTGGGGTCACCCTGAGCTTGGTCAGGCTCCTTTTGCTCAACAAGAAACTTGTCTCTAAATAAATGATATACATATAGAAAGCCCAGTCCTAATTTCTAGCTACTCCTTCCTTTGCTCCATGACGGGGCCATGCAGACAACACAAACTGGTAAAGAGGCTGTCTCCCATGGCCTGGCTGGGAAGAAACGGCAAGACCAGGCCAGCGGTTTACTAACTCTCCTTGTGTCATTTTACTGGCCTATAGTTCATTTCTCTGCCGTGAGTTTTACTGTTATTACGGTATCTTGCAAGAGTAAGATATACCAACCATTACCATAAAGCCAATTAGTGATCTTGTAGGAATGTGGTTCCCTAAGACTGACACGAGGACCAGGAAGTTTAAGACTCCCCCACCTGCCTGTTTTTAAGCCAAAATTAACATATAGATTAAGTTAGTATAAACTAAATTAGCATTAGAAGCATATGTAGACTAAGTTAGTTTAAGGCTAGTCCTTGTTAAAGCTACAGGCCAAAATTAACTCACACTAGCAAAGTCAGCACATTCACCACATAACAGAGACTTAAAGATAAAACAAAAGAACTCACTAATTGACAGACTCAGCAGACAAAGCTGAGGGTTCCACAGAAAGATTAACCATTTTAGCTGGGAGCTCTTATCTAAAGCAACAGGTAGCTTTCAACTACAAAGAGTTTCTCATCCATGTGCTGTTGACTATGAAAAACTGCTAATAAAACATCCTGTGTTGTCTCCGGAGCTACAAGATCATCTTCCTTTCCCATATAATATCATAGACTCACCCTCCATTGTTGTAATGTATAGATAGTCCATATATTAACTGTGTCTTTACTTAGCAAGACAAGATTTCCATCTAGGTCGTTGTAACCAGCAACTTATCGCCCTGGCCCGGGACTGAAGTTGTCAAACATCCTGCAAGCCCCCTCTTCAAAAGACCCTTCCCAGTAATCAAGATCTAAGAAGAAAATCTTTTACTGCCCCTCACCCATTTACTTGCATGTATCACATTTTCAATAAAAAGGCACAATGATTCCTAGCAGTTGTCATTCCTCAGAGAGCGATCTCTGGGAGTGTCCAGCTGAGGACGTGCATGAAAAGGCAGGAGGCCTTAGTCTTCCTTTCTTTCCAGCGCCGCCTCCATCGAGATAACCCACCCATGCCGAGGCTGGACCCTGCACTCCTCTTTGCCTTTCTTTAAAATACTCTGTTCAACAGACCTTAAGTCAATGGTGGAAGACGTTATTATAAATTCTGAATAAGAATGAACAACCAAGGATCTCCATGCATTTGAGGAAAACTTAAAAAAGCAAATAAAGACCAAAGATTTTTAAAATATAATATGGATAACAAAAGATGCTAGGAACAAAAGAGAAAGTCTAACAGATACTTTAGAAAAGAATGCACACATAAAACAAGAACATTATGCAGGTCTGGAGTTAGCCTGATGGGATGACCTTTGTGAGTCACTTGTCATTTCTCTCTTGCCAGTTTTAGTATCTTGTCTTTATCTGTGGTCTTGGCCAGTCTGGCTAAGATGTGCCTTGGGGAAGATCTTTTTGGGTTGATTCTATTTGGGGTCCTTTGTATTTCTTGGTCTGGATGTTTGCGTGCCTCTCTAGATTTGAAATTTTCTTCTGGAATATTCACTTTGCAAACTAAATGATGTGATTGAATGTATTAAAGAACTTGAAATAAAATAAGATTTTTAAAAAAAGAACATTATGCAGAAACAGAAGGAAAAAAGCTGTGGATTTGAAAAACAGTCTAAATTAAAATAAAGTGTAATAGTGGATCTATCAATATCAAGCAAATTATCTAAAGTTTTAGAGATAAATTAAAGATTAAAAAATGAGTCATAGGGGCCAGACAAC